CGAGTGATAGTGAACCCAAGTCACTAAGCGTGGTCCTAAGTTTCATGGTGATCTGTATGTATCACCGATGGTGGGTGGTTCAACCATACTTTTAGCGAAAGATACCTGTTACTCCTTCCATTTGTCACTGCTAAAAAATTAAATTATTCTCCTTGGAGCAGTCTAGATATTGCTTTCTTACCTGTTCGGAACAGCTTTTGATACCGTTTTATCGACTACAGGATTCATAGGAGAGCACCATGAAAAGCGAGGGCGTTGTTCATCATAGTGAAAAACAGAGCACTGCTAAGGTACCCCAAGGGACACTGGATAGGACTTACCCCAATTCAGACTAGTTTTATTCTCCAGAAACGCCCACTTAGAAAATATGATACCCAGTTGATTAGACTGGTCTATCAAGTCAAGAATTATCGTAATGATGGTGCCATGCTCATCTGTGGCCTCGGTCCAGGTATGGAGCATCTCTAGCACTTTTGTACTGCACCAAATTGGTAATCTTTCAATAATATTGTCAGCAGCTCATTGCAATACTTAGTTTCTAGAGAGCTTATGCAAAATTACAGCTTATGCAAAATCGTATCTCAAAGCAGACAAAGTCGGCCTTGCGTGTGTGTGTTAAACAGCTTCATTCAGCGAGATCTCTAGTGTTCAGCTAACTCACCAAATACCACTCTTGGCGTGAATAACACATAATAACGTTTAGCTAATGAGGGGAAGGGGGTGTCTTAAAGTCTTCCATTAAAGGAAAGTCGTGATGTTCATTAACTAGTACCATTTTACCACATTTCATCAAAAGGCGTAAAACACCACCCTTCAAACCAAACGTATACATACCATTCGCAGCCACAGATCATATAATGCTCGGAAATTGTCTTGTTAGAACAATGGAGAAAAGAGCTAGACAATAACAAGATAATCGGTTTGGTATCTATGAACCTACCAAAAGCTTTCGACTAGCTACCACATGACCTGAATGTTATCAAATTGCGCAAATACGGAGCTGATGACAAAATAGCTAACTTAAAAAAATAGAATAAAAAACAATATGCGCGAAACTCGGAGTCACTTTCTCGTCTTGGTAACTTCTTTCCAAACAGAGGTGACGGAGCGTTTTGAAGCTTTTACAGTGTGTCCGTAATCGATTTGTGACTTACTTTCGTTTTTTTGCGGCACAGCTTCGCATTTGATCGTGTTCACACAGACAAAATTAAATGTTGTTTAAATTCCTAGACATGCTGTCTAGTTTAATGGACAATTGCTGCAGTTAATAAGCTTTTCGAACACAGGCTGGAACTGTTCAATAAAGTTTTATAACATATGATTCCTCCAAGTGCAATGCTGAAAAGATCACGATATTGAGTGTTTTACCAATTTTTATGTTGCGCTAGCGATATTTTCGGCACCTACTAACGTGTTTGTTTTTAAGGTCTACGCCCCCCCTCCGACCCCTGCTGACTCCCTGCTGCTCCGCCGCCTATATGCCAAAGGACCGAAATCCGGCAAATTGTTGGGCGATGTCACGATGACCTTAGCTTTCGGCCGAAATCTCACCGAAACAGAGGATATCAATCGTTTTCGTATTGGTCAACCTTCGACCACTTTCCTAATAGATATCGGCCGGCGCCAACTATCGACCCATTACGGCTACCGGTAAAAAATTTAGCCATTTTATGGCTTACGGTTATTTTATTACTGTTATAGTCACCGTAAATGTTATTTTGAATAGTTTTCATTTTTCTGAAACACGTTTTTATCGTCATGGTCAAGCATCAAGAGTAATTCCAGATGGCGCTGCCGCTGGGTTGATATTAAGTAATTTTCTGTTTTCCCGCCGATTTCACAAGGTCTTTCAGGTCTCATTACGCGTTTTAGAATATTCCGTCATTTCCGGCTACATTTGATACATAATATTCCGTCATTATGCGTTTTAAGATATTTTGTCAGTCTACGTTTAAGCGTATTCCCCCATTCCATCACTCTACCGAATAGGGTCACCCGTCCACTGTCTTAACCCATCTCGCGCGCGAAATGCAGACTCTTCCGGTTCGCAGAATATGACAGGACCTGTGTCAAATGTTATTCAGTTGTTTTTTATATCAGTGTAGAGAGTGCAAAATTTTTACAGTTAACTGCTTTTAACACTAACGGTTAAAATTTGTCAAATTTTATACCTAGCTAACGCTTAACCCCATTGAGGTCCTCGACCATCGGTCGATATATTGACTTGGCTTTAGACAAAGGCTGCTTGAAGTACACTTATTCTTTTATTTTTCAATTTTCGTATCGATTTCTATTTATAAACACGTCCATACCATCCTCTTCTTATATCGATTACGTCATGTACAACAACAGACGTAACTTCTGGTAAATTCTTGTACAAGTCAGGTACTTCTACGTAAGGTTTTCCATTCACGACCCCATGATAGCTTCCAAACTGATCATTCTGTTATCGGAAGGATTGAGGAGCAAATAAGTTCTGGCAATGACGCATTCATTATATTCGAAATTTCCCGACGAACGCGAGCAGCGAACGTCATTGGCAGTTTACTTAATGAAGTAAGGAAGGCATATTTAGTTTGTATCTCTTGTCTTCAAATGAGCAAAACATCCTGATAACCGGAAAACCATAACAACTTAAAACAATGTCAAAGCCTCTTGTACGAGTTATTTAAAGACAGTTCGTGAAAACTACTGAGAAGAATACAATCCCTCTTGCCTGTTCTCTAGCACGGCCAGAGTATAATTTGCTTACCTAAGACTAAGAAAAATAAACTTGGGACTCCTTCCTTTCAGTCTCACGGTGAAGCACAGTTTGTCCTCACCAAGCGAACGGGAAATGGTTCTGCCTCAGACATGATCCGTTTGATTGATCTTCCAGAAAATTTAATTTCATATTCTCTTTAATTGATATGGTCTTTCAAGTCGATTACTCCTAAATATATGATGTTGCACGCGATAACACCGAAAGGAAACTTCATCCGCCGAATATTATAATTGGTTTAAAAATTCCCACCACGTTCTCTGTAGAAGCTCATTACAGAAAACTGCATCATTCAGCGGCCAAACGTCCAGTGGCCTGGCAATTGTAATTTCGTGAACTAAAATTATAGTAATGTCTTCACCACGCAAGACATGCTTAATTGATCTTAGTAATTTGAATTAAACTGAATGCACTTTTTTTGCCTCACTAGAAGCATTTATAAAAGGTGTTTGAAAACAGGCATTGATATTTCTGTCGAGGTTAACAGGCCTTATATCAATAGAAAATATATAAGTCAATATATAAATGTTATTTTTGTGTCCGTCCTTTTTATTTCTATCCATTTCCCAAAGAATCACGGCGCCCCTGTCAAACGCATAATGATTAATGAATTATCAGTTAGAGTTTTGGAGTCATTTTGTTTGCCTTTTTTTAGGTTTGTTTGTTTGTTTTTGCTTCTCTTTTGTCATTTCCAGTTTTGGAGTTTTGTTTTGGTTTTCTCTAAAAATTGAAGGCCACTTCAGTGTTCCGAGTGTTTTTTCATTGACATGCAGACAAAAAAAAGTTTGCCGAAGTCACTTTTTCATCCCACACCCATTTTGCCCTTGGCGATCATTATCTCACCCGCGTGCTTTAAGCAAATTACTTTGCATCTTACCTGTATGAATGCTTATGCTTGATCGATCTTTAAGCCAAGACTTTAAACTTCATGGAATTTTTACGATGCGTAAAAAAGTCACGCAAAGATTTATATGCGTTATTGAATAAATCAGAGTCATCTTTAGAGCCTCTAATGCTCTTCTTATTTTAATTTAGGGGGCTCATGCCTAAGTAGATAGGGGGCTCATGCCTTTCAAATAAAGGGATCTAGTAAGTTGTGTCTGACACAGTAATTTTTACCAGCATCAGCTGCTCATTACATAAGTTAAACAGAGGCTATTGTTCTTCCATCCTTGCATAGCGAAAGTGATAAGTCGAAAACAACAACTCGTGGTCGTAGATGATGCGTAACAGTAACAAACGCGACGCCCTATGCAACCTTTGAGCTTCAGAAGAACAGATGACGACTGCTTAATATCGTTTTCACTTTCTCAGCAACCACCGATAGAATTCAAAGTCAGGGAAAACTAACTATTATTCAATATTATTATCTACGTCCTAGCATAATTTTACCAGAACAATCAAGACACTCCAGAGTGTAGGTAATATTTTAGACCCGGAATTTTCAGTATTTCCGTTATTTTCGTCTCAGAGCCAATCGGAGGCAGGCACACTTTTACTCAGGAGCTTTCTGGAGCACCAAACATCGATAGTAAATATGTTACATCAGTTACATGTGTTACAGAGAAAACAAAAAAAATAGTGTTTAGTAAAAATGTATATTTCGGAGGTAACCATGCGGGATGTTTGGTATAACGCACAGTTCAATTTTTATAACGTTCGTGAACAGTTTTTGGTTCGGTGACCTTTGAAAAATATTGCATTAAATTTGTTATCAGCCAATGTTGGACGCCAACGTTGCGGTCACGCTAATTAGCGGTTTTACTCTGTAGACTTATAAGACCTTTTTTGAAAACTGTTCTGTACAGAGACGTCACTAAACAAGGTGAAGTGAGACAACAAGGATCAAGCTTAAGAAATGGCTTCCAAAGCGTTCGTGCTCATGTGTTTTCTTGCGCTGCTGGGGCAGCTTTCTGGCTTTAAGTTGACTCGACCCGTCGGTAAGTTTAAAAACCATAATAGAAAAAAACGAAAAAGACAAAAGAAAAAAAAAATTTATGATAAAACGATCGCTTTCGTAAAACGATTGTTAGTCTTCCACCTCGCTCGAGCCCCTTACACGAAGAATCTAACGAGATTTTAAAACATTTAAAACGGAAGTTTCACAATGTATTTAAAGATTAACTAGGGTTACTTTAATGGAAATCTGTTTAAATAACATCAGTATTGTCTATTGTATGCTCTTTGCATGTTTGCATGTGTGTGTGGATCGGGTAGGCGACGCTAAGGACAGCGAATGATAGCAATTGATATGTGCTCAGTTTTCCAGCCGTTTTGCTCCTGCATAAAGCGACGCTTTTCGACAAGATCTGGGGTTTAATTGTCAACAGATACTGAACTTGTAAACAAGGGAATATAACTTTGCAAAGTTGTTTGCATTATTCAATATGAGAAATAGTAGATAGCAAAAAAATATAAGAGGTAGATCCACGTCCTGGTTGAGTTTTTCAAGATGCAAGAATCCGGAAAAAAAAAAAAAAAAAAAAAAAAAACCGCCACACGGTTAAGTTGGCATCCAGAATTTTCCGATAGAAAATGCAACCCCAAGCAACAGGCGGTGTTTATTTGCACGTGCATAATTAATCTCTGACTCATTTTCCTGACGGACATAACTATCAGTCGATATACCTTTTTCTCTTTAACGATCTACGTTAAGAATGAATCAGTTATTTTCCTATATACATGTTGAACTTCAAATAATCCATAGCCAAATTTTCTTTCACCTTAAATTGGACCATGTATTGAGGAAACCGGCTTTTGACAAAGTACGCAATTTAGAGAGGCAGTATCATCTTGTTGTGAGGAGCTAACCGAAATGAAATAAATATTCTACGTTGAACTTTCAAAAGACTTAGTAACGTGACCCATTTATTTCAGGTTAAAAGCTCACAAGAGTTTACACGATAAAACCTATAGCAGCAATACTCTAATCTTAATTAAAGGAAATATCTTAAGAGAAGTCGACCAAAAAAGCCCAAAGCGTATACCAGAAACAACGCCTAAAATGTTTAAAAATACGGTGAAAACAAAGGGCGCAGCCGACTGTTGCAATGCAACGATTTAATCACATTAAAATACCATTTTCATGCCAAATGAGAAATAATTAACGATTGTGCTCCGGTGGAGCTATTATAAATATTTTTTAACAATGCGAGGGTGTAAACAGGTTTCCGACACGAACAAGCCACAAAAATTAACACAGCTTTAACAGAGTTGCAGACATAAAGCCATAACATGCCAGCAAAATTCTCCTTCCCTAGAACTTTTGTGAAACATCTAAGCTTGATTTCGGAAGACAGTGTGATACAATTTTTCCCCCTAAGGCAGGAATGAAAACAAATCACTCTCATTCATTGATCATCTAAAGTAGTTACGAATGTTTCACTGATCTGTATTTTTCCTCAGATGCCTTTATCTTGTAAAGGATATTTTCAGAGGCGGGATATAATAGATACCACAGAGTCTATAGGAAATATGTATTTACATATCTTTCCCCATCGAAACAAACCGACCATCAGGTTTAGTCAAAATATTAGTAAGTTTTCAAGACTACTTGGATGTGGCTTGGCATCAAAACATTATTTGCATGAGCAGCATTTCAAATTTATAGATAAGTGAACATCACTTCATTGTTGAGACCCAACATTATGACAACGAATGGAACTCAATATTTTGTGTTATTTTGATTAATAACTCTGGTAATTATTATCAATGCAAAGACATTTATGACAAGAAAATAAAAAGCTGATCGTGCAGTTGCTATTTGAAAAATCTGTTGCTTTGACAAAATTATTTAAAATCACTTAGCATCGGATGATCCAGTGAACTCATCGTCTAGCTAGAAACATAGCAACTATTCCGTTACTAGCAGGCTGCAGATATTGGCGTCAGAAAAAGTTCCAGAGTCTGGGAAAGCCTATAAAAAGTAGCTGGGTGCTACTTTGAATAATAATAGAACTGACCTCATTGACTCTCAGTAGATATGATCGTACGTAAGGTAGCTTAGACCGTTACTGTGGTAGTCAGCTCATCGCGATAATTTTTTGGCGTCGTTTGCTCGAGTAATACAGCCTGTAATTAGACATTTTTCAAAATCGATGACATGTTACGTCACCCTACACAGTGATAAAAACAATAGTTTCTATAACGTTCAAAAATAGCGGTCTCAGGATGGATACATGAGGAGAAAAATGAAATGAGACTGTGTTGGTAATTAATTTGGTAATATAAAATAAGTTGAAATTGTAAATTGGCCACCGAAAATAGTTAAAAAGCTGACGTTTCGAGCGTTAGCCCATCGTCAGAGCGTCAGAGTAATTAATTACCTGCTGTGTAATTGCTGTCTTATATGAAAAAAGAATGGAGTACATCTTTCAGTTTCTCAAATTCTTTATCTCGACAGATTTGGTCTGAGTTCTCTCGGATAAAAGGCACCTACACGTAACAAAACCATTCTGTCGAAATTCCATATGACGCTTTTCTTGATTGTTCTGTGATTCACTTGAAACACCTAATATTGATAAGTACTAAATTACGCTCATCATTATCATGTTTTATAGACCTTGAACGCTTCGGCCAAGAGCTTGAGGATGTAAAGAAATACATCGAAAGTTTGGGTAAGAGCCAGTAGTTATTATTTGTTCAATAGTTTGAGTTTGGCTTAAAGCTATATTTAGTCCTGGATTAATGAAGGTAATTTAAAGTTATACCGGTGTAAGGTTCATTGTGCTTTCAAGCATTGTGATGCAAAATGGAACTGTCCAGAATGCTGGAAGTCATGGAAATACTTCAAGTGTGATTTAAAGATAGGACACAAAACAATTATTTGTTTTGTGTCCTATTTGTTTTGTGTCCTATCTATTATTTGTTTAGTGTGCGGTTAGGAAAAAGATGGCGAAATTTTAATGTCATATTCGGCCTTTTTTATCGAATATTTTGAATTTATATGCATAAGATTCATAAAAGTGGTCTGAGACTATATGAAAATTATCCCTCCCCTTTTTTTGCTAGAAAGGTAGTCTCAAAGCAAAACAAAAATTATGAAGATTGCGTGAATTGTGAATTATAAGACTGCTCAGCACACCACAAAGTAGCTTTGCTAGAAATTTAAGGTCGACCCGACCTGGCCATCTTGTCAGAGGTATTTTAAAAATATCGCTTTGTAACTTCTCTAACCCAAATGCAGACTGATAAGGTTTTTTTGTAAGAAAAAAATCGATATTCATTCAAAAATTTTCAGGTTATGCCCAGTCTTCATTGCCTTAATTTTAAAATAAGGATGTAATTATGGTCCTCGCTGTTCTGTACAACAATACATTTTCAGTCGTTGTCCTTAAAAGCCTTGGATGTTATAAAATTACACCTTTGTTTTAAAATCTACTCAAATAGTTAGACTGTCCCTGGTTTTATAGTCATGACCTTGAAGTGATCACTGTTATTTTTCTAATGTTTCTTAGAATCGCCTGCAAGCGATGAGGGAGAGGAAGGAGAAGAGGAAAATGGAGAAGAGGAAAGTGGAGAAGAAGAAGAAGGAGGAGAAGAAGAAGAAGAAGAAGAAGAAGAAGAAGAGGAAGACGATGAAGAGGAAGAAGAAGAAGAGGAGGAGGAGGAGGAAGAAGAGGAAGAAGAAGAGGAAGAAGAAGAGGAAGAAGAAGAGGAAGAAGAAGAGGAAGAAGAAGAGGAAGAAGAAGAGGAAGAAGAAGGGGAAGAAAGTGGAGAAGAAGAGGAAGCAGCAGACGATGAAGGGGAGGACC